GCAGACGATGATCCTAGAAGTTGATGCAACTGATTCTTCAACTCCAATAGAAGAATCAAAAGATGAAGAGGTTCAAACCCAAGAACCATTGGAGACACCAGAACCACTTGCAGTTACAAGGCCAATGAGAGAAATTTGTAGACCTGGTCGATTTGTTGATATGGTGGCCTATGCTCTTCCAGTTGTTGATGATATCCCTATCACTTACCAATAAGCAATACAAAGCTTGGAAAGTGATAAGTGGAAAAGTGTCATGGATGAAGAAATGCAATTTCTCCAAAAGAACAACTCTTGGAAAATGACTCAATTACCGAAAGGTAAAAGAACAATTGGATGCAAATGGGTATTTGCAAAGAAAGATGGATCTCATAGCAAGAAAGATGTTCGCTACAAGGCATGGTTGGTAGCTAAAGGCTACGCTCAAAAGGAGGGAATCGACTACAATGAAGTATTTTCCCCTGTTGTGAAGCATTCCTCCATTAGAATATTGTTGGCCTTGGTAGCACAATTGAATTTGGAGCTAGCTCAACTTGATGTAAAGACAGCTTTCTTGCACGGTGATTTAGAAGAGGAGATCTATATGACTCAGCCATAAGGATACAAAGATGGTGGTTGTGAGAAATGGGTTTGTAAGCTGAACAAATCGCTATATGGATTGAAGTAATCTCCGAGGAAGTGGTACAAGCGATTTGATAGTTTTATGAGGAGGCAAAAGTACACTAGAAGAAAATATGATCATTGTGTGTATTTGCAAAAGCTCAAAGATGGATCTTTCATTTATCTTCTCTTGTACGTTGACGATATATTGATCGCTTCGAAGAGTCAAAAGGAGATAGACAAATTAAAGGCTCAGTTGAATCAAGAGTTTGAGATGAAAGATCTAGGTGAGGCCAAGAAGATTCTTGGTATGGAGATAAGCAGAGATAGACAGAGAGGGAAGTTTTGTTTAACACAGAAGCAGTATCTGAGAAAGGTATTACAATGTTTTGGCATGAATGAAAATACCAAACATGTAAGTATCCATCTGGCTTCTCATTTGAAACTTAGTTCTCAATTATCTCCTAAAACTAACGAAGAACGAGAGTATATGACAAAAGTTCTATAAGCTAATGTAGTTGGGAGCTTGATATATGCAATGGTGTGTATGTGTCCTGGCATTTCACAAGCAGTTGGAGTTGTGAGCAGGTACATGCATGATCCTGGAGAAGGACATTGGCAAGCTGTGAAATGGATTCTACGGTATCTCCAACAAACTGTGGATATTGGTTTAGTTTTTGAACAGGATGAAGCACTTGGTCAGTCTGTGGTTGGATATGTTGATTCCGATTATGCTGGTGATTTGGATCAACGTTGATCAACTACTGGGTATTTGTTTACTCTTGCTAAATCCCCAGTAAGCTGGAAGTCTACATTGCAATCTACTGTGGCCCTGTCTACTACAGAGGCTGAATACATGGCAGTTTCAGAGGCTGTAAAGGAAGCAATTTGGCTTAACGGGTTGATGGAAGACTTGAGAGTTATTCAAAGTCACATTAGTCTCTATTGTGACAGTCATAGTGCTATTCACTTAGCGAAAAATCAAGTCTACCATTCAAGGACTAAGCATATCGACGTGAGGTATCACTTTGTGCGGGAGATCTTTGAAGAAGGAAATATTCTACTTCAGAAAATTGCGACATCAGAAAATCCTGCAGATATGATGACCAAGGTGGTAACAGTAATCAAGTTCAATCATTGTTTGAACTTGATTAACATCCTGAAAGTATGAACACCTTCGGGTGTGTGGCGCTTGTGAGCGCAATTAGAGGTATTACAAATTTGGGGAGTTGGAGAAGTTGAGTAGGCTTGGTAATTTCAAGCTAATGTGGAGATTTGTTAGATTTGGCTTGAAATTAAGTTGGCAAGTTGGAAATTTCATCTTGGTTGGTGGCCAAACTTTGAATATGGGAATTTCATATTTGGTGGCTAACTTGTACACATTGGGAAATTCTTTGGTAGGTGGCCAACTTATTTTTCAAGTTTGATCCCTAAAATATTAGGTTATTTATAAGTTTAGTCCTTAAAACTCAACTATAAATAGACCTAAGTATTTCATTAGAAATCATCCCAAAAAACAAGTTCTCTCTTCCATTTGTTTTCTTCATTCTCTCACTTTGAGAATTCTAAAGAATTCCATTTGTTGTAATATTTTGTTGATAGTGAAGTTATCATCCGGTGTGGTGCCCAAGGAGTAGATGATATTCTCGTTGAACCTCGTAAAGTTGGTGTGTTCTCTCCTTTATTGTTTTTATTCGGTTTTTTCCATTGCGTTTCAATATTCAATAGTTTGACAGGTTTATCCGCTGTGCAACCTTTGGTGGTTTTGATCTTGACATTCTAGGTCAATTTTGAAACTACGTTCGTGTGGGAAATAACTTGATTTTCCCTAACAACCCCAACTCCACAATCGGGTTAATAAACACACTTATCAATACATCACTCAACGAGTTCGCAACAGACTTTCGGGTTGGAAAGCATGACATCTATCCCTGGTCGGTCGAGTGGTCTTAGTTAAATCGGTTCTTTCAGCTATATCGGCTAACGCGATGCAAACTTGTCGGCTTCCGGTCAGCACAAAAAATGAACTTGATCGCCTACTCCGGAACTTTATCTGGGGAAGTATTGAAAATAACCGATGAATCCATTTGGTCTCTTAGAAGGAAGTTTGCTCGCCGATAAAGGAAGGTGGTTTTGGCCTTAAAAATTTGCAGCATCATAACGATGTTTTTACTATGAAATTGGCCTTTCAGCTTGTGTCTAGTCCACAAACCTTGTGGGTTAAACTATTACGCACGAAATATGGCATGTTCGAATTAGTCCCCAACTCAATCCATAAAGATGGCTGCTCTCGTCTATGGAGTGGCTTAAGCGTGGTGTGGGATGAGGTCAAGAACAGCTTGGTTTGGACTTTAGGGGATGGAAAATCGATAGATTTTTGGAAGGATTCTTGGCTGGGTGACCTTGGCCCTTTGCGAGAATACCGTCTCGAGCAGCACAACACTGAGAACAGCTTTGTCCCGGTTTGTACGATGGTGAATTCACAGGGCGAGTGGAACTGGAATACTTTTCAACGCTTGCTTTCACCATCGATTCACCTTGATTTGATGGCAGCGATACCTCCGAGATCTTTAGGTTGCCCCGATATACCCGGCTAGAAGTGGGGTAAACACCGACGTTCTCGGTTAAGAGCGCCTATGAACAGTGCGCGTTCTCTCATCACCATGCAGGGGCACCGATATGGATAGCTATAAACCATCACCGCGGGCTACCCCCAAGTTAAAACCCTATTGTGGCTGTTTTGCAATGGTCTCTTGCTTACAAACGAGGAGTGAATGCGACGACATATGACGTCCGACCCTAGTTACCCTCTTTGTGGGGCTATGATAGAATCTCTCTCACATGTTTTCCAGGATTGCATCGCGGTGAAATCCACCTGGAATTTGGTCGTTAAACCTGAGAAACTTGCTGAATTTTATCGGATAGCTTTTGATGACTGGATTATGCGTAACATACATGAAACTTCAAATTGCATGGGGACTCAAGAGGACTGAGATGTGCTTTTTGGAACGTTGCTATGGAGTTTTTGGGCTCGTTGTAGCATATTGATTTTCGACCCGAAAAAATGCTTACTTTGAACCTATATTATCTACAGGTAAACGACTTCTTGCTGAAACAACTCGGGCGAACTTGTTGAAGAAAGAGAAGCAGAATCAGATACCTTCTCCGATCAACAGGAACGTGCCATAGCAGCCTCCTCCGTTGGGCTTCAGCAAACTCAACACTGATGACGCCTACCGCGCTAACTGCAAAAATGCAGCTTGTGGGGGACTTATTCGAAACCATCAAGGTGGATGGATGCTCGATTTTTCAAAGCATCTTGGCCGCTGCTCCATCTCGGACTCAGAGTTATGGGGAGTTTATGAAGGCCTTCGCATGGCGTGGGAGGAAGACATTCGAAAGCTTTAGATTGAATTTGATAGTAAAGAAGCCCTTGCAGTAATTACTAAAGACCTATCTTACCATGGAGCCTCTTCACTTAACCACTCATTCACAATTTGCTGCAACGTGATTGGGAGCTCAAGTTTCATTTTGTACCGAGAGAGGCTAATACAGCAGCCGACTGCCTGGCAAAAATTGCATGGAATCACTCGGATGAAACGCTTGTTTTCCGGACTCCCCCGACTGCAGTAACAACCATTCTTCACGTCGAAGCATGCATGGATTCTAGTTGAATTGTTTTTCTAGGCTTTCATTTCTCTTTAAATTAAAAAAATATAAGATGATTATATAGTATGATTGTTCAAAATACTCTCAACTATTAATAATAACTATTTAAACGTCCTTACAAACGTCATGCTCGAGTATGAAATCTCTAGCAATAAGTAATTTTTCATAAATATTTTAAAAATATATTATTTTTTCATATTATTGCTAAAAAAAATCGAGAGGTACTCAACTAAATTTTACAGATAACCGTACAGTGTCCAATTTATAACAAAATTCAGAGCTTAGTATCTATTTTATGACGTTTAGAAATTTAGTACCAAAAAGTATTTTAGAATAAACTAGTGACTATTTTTCAACTTTAACCAATTTTAAAGTGTATTTAAAAGAATTTTACTATGTTTAGTCGAAAAAAATAAGTTTTTTTTCTTCTTTTAAGCCTATGCCACCGAAAGATGTCTCTTCGATCTCCATATCTTCAAAGCTTCCCCGTTATCAATATCTACCAATGTCTAGTCGAATTCGAATGTAGCTTTTAATCAAATCTCATAAATTTTCTTCAACAAATTACAATCTTTCTATTTCGAATTTTCCACCATGAAAAATTCTTCCCCATTTACCATAAGAAAAAACCCTCCATTCATATCAAAATGCTGCTTCTGTTCTTCATCTTCTCCTCTTGTTTAAGGCCTGCTTTCCCATTTTCATTCCCTCATCATCTTCATGAATGTTTGGTTTCTCTCTCAAAACCGTTTCCCAGAATTCCCTTTTTCCCCCTCATCCTCTGCTTCCATTTTTCTTGCTGTTTTAATCCTCTTAGGTCTTCAAAAGTAATGGCAAAAAAGGTTGTAATTTTATGTACTTTTCAGCTGAGTTTATCTCCCAGGCTGCTTTGGGGACTATAATTTAAACTGGGTTCCTTCCCGTTTCGATTCTCATTGAGTTATAGCCCGGTTCTTATACTTTCTGTTTGTTTCTCGGCATTTTCGTTGCAGAGAAAAGACATGGATTATTATTATTATGATGATGATGATGATAGCCGTGTCAATGGTGAAGCTAAAGCAGATTCCAAGCCCTTTTCAATAAGGTGGATTTTCCCATTTTCCAATGCCTTATTATGATTTTATTTTTCTTATCTTATAACATTATTTCATGGTGTACTTAATTTACTTATTTTTTGAAAATTTATTAGTTTCCTAGTTGCTGATGAACTCTGTTCTATCATCTATGATTCTTCTATTACATGCTTGTTTTTCAAATGTATAGGAGCAGTATATTTTTCAACATGTTCCATGGTGTTATTTTTAGGTTTGTGTACTTTGATTTGCTGCTTTCTTCATTGTTGTATAATTTTCAACCATGCATGATAACTAGTTCAATTAGGGAATTCAGTGAATGAACTACTACAAAGTTCGGCTTTCGAAACCGGTGTTCGATTAAAAACCGCCACGACTTCCAGTTTTTCGCCTGTGTTTGTAACAATGCCTGCGTTTGTAACAAGTAATCTTTTGTTTTCCCAGACAGTTTGTTGCTGATACTAGGAGGAAAGATGTTGTTCATTGTTGGCCATTTCCAAAGAGATACTTGCAAGTTTGTCTGAAATATGGTATCAGCAATGTGTTGCCACCCTTTGAGCTGTGTATTAATCCGCCTGCTCGAGTGCCGAATGAGAACGTAGGCCGGACATGTTCCGATCACCGATATAAAGATGAAGTTTCCTTTGAAAATAAGGTAATTTTACTGGAGAGATTGATCAAAGATGAGTGGAATTGTAGCCATGATGGGATTCTACCAAAAGGCCCCTGCCATGAAAGCAACTTGAGCTTTGATCACACTTCAAATGTCACGGTTCCGGTGAATCGAGAATCTAGTTCTGTACAAGGCCCTCACTTTGATGCTCAGCTGAGAATCGAAACGGTTTCCCCCAAGAAGCTGAGACACAAGCAAAGAAAGCATAAAGGGAGACGGAAGAAACGATCGATGTCTGATATTTTAGCAAGAGCGAAACCGTGTACTTTGGATGATTGCCATACTAAATAAACCTCTCTAATGATGGTAATGGTGAAGCCATTGATGACAATTCGTCAAGGTACATTTTCTGCTATAATTTGAACCAAATGTGATTGTTCCAATTGCATTGTTTAAGCTTTCTAAAGTAACCTATTCTGAATCTTATTGATTATAGGAACCTGCTGTGTAGTTTCAGTTTCTGTGATCATCTATGTTACTTGGATTCGGGCCTGCAGTTTCAGGCTACGAGTACGGTTCAACACTGGTATGTTCAATATTCTCCTCTTGTTTTCATTATCGAAGTATCCGGTCATATTCCCGCACGAATATACGTATGCCCTCTCATATATATTGCCTTCTGATTTCACCTTCTCGATCTTTGATCGATACCTGCATCCACATGACGAATACCGAAATATTTTCACATGATTTGCAAGCTCCCATTGTGATAAGTGATGAAGGAAACCTTATATGTCATCCCCTTTTTCTGCTTCTCATCTCTGATACATGAACATTATTTTATGCTACAAAGGGCGACTATGTCATCCGGGATTCATATACATACATACATACATGCTCGTGTTCAACGCATATCTAAACTTGAGCATACGCGATATCGATGTTTTTCGGGTCGAATGAAGTTGTGCATGCATTTCTCTTTACTTGTAGGCAGGTAAAACAATGGGATATCTTGGTTCCTCGGATCAGTTTGCAGGATTGGCAGCTTCAAGCTATTAAATAATTTTATATGTAAATTATATTACTCGGACTCGTATGTAAGTATCGGATCGACACATTATGGTCCTTTTTTTCGACGCTCTTGAAGGTCGAATTCATGTATCGGACATGGATAATTCAAGAACAATGAAGAGTTTAAGCTCATGCAGTTTACATGAAGTTCTTTACCATATTTCGTAGTAAAAATAGTATTTACACAATTATTTTAATAAAAATTATATAAAGAAACAAGTATGACAAGGTATATTTACACAATGTGATTGATAACGTAGTGGATAATGTGATAGATTGACTAAATTGAGAACTTAAACATGACAGATGAATTATTATGTCAGTGTCGTGGATTGTCACGTTAATACCGTAAACTATCACATCAATACTATAATACTATAATGATCAAACGACAAAAATATTAATAAAAAACTAACTTTTTTGAATTTAAAGGTCACATTAAAAAAAGAACACCATATTAATTTTTTTCAGAAGTACATACGCGTATGATGCTTTTTTGTAAAAAAAAAATAAGCTAATTTAAAAGTTCTAATAATATCTGCACAAAGAAGCATGCACAACATGCGTCTCCTTTTGGCGGGTTAGCGTTGGCGTTTGCATACGTGGAAACCATCATTGAAACGCCGACAAAGAAAACGTGAGGTCCAAACGCCTAAATTTTTTTTTTGTAACAATTAGATATTTTGCAGTTGAATGCATATATAGCATGTCCAACCAGCAAGCAGAGGGTTTTTATTACATGGCTGGTGATTTTGTCGATGACATGGATGAAGACAACTATGGCAGTGCTGGTGGAGATATTGATGCTGATGAATATGACATGGTTTGTTTTACCTTTTGTTTATGTATGTATGTATGTATGTTTAAATGTTGTTACTTTTAATTCTATGTATAATTGGATGATGATGTTCATCACTTCAAACCATATACTTTGAGCAGCTGACCAGGGCGAACGATACCTCTTCCGCGCAAGCACGCAAGGGGAAGGACATACAGGGGATTCCGTGGGAACGATTGAGCATGACTAGGGAAAAGTATAGACTGACAAGGCTTGAACAGTATAAGAATTGGTGAAGCCGTCGACAAGGTTTGTTTCGGCTCCTATCGTCTCTAAATGAACTAGTTTGTGTCTCTAAAGAGGATATCTTGTTAAGCTCTTTGGGTAATTGGCATTGTTTCAGGAATGCAAGCAGATAGAAAAGAGCGGGAACTACTATGAATTCTTCCACAACACTAGATCAGTTAAGCCTACAATGCTCCATTTCTTAACACGGAGAGCTTATTTTTAAGGTAAGCTATGTTTGCAGCCATGTTGTAAGATATGTCGATTTCTTACATTCCTGTTGTTGCAGCACTTGGACAGAAAAGGTGTAACCTTCTGCACCCGGACAACATATGATGATAATGCGATTATGAATGCCATCGAGATATATGTCAGCTTGAGGTAGCTTGACAATTGTGGATTTGTCTGGTTCGGTTGATCACTATAAATCGACTGAAATTGGATTGAAGTTTTGAACCTGTTTTGCAGGGGTGGCATTCATTTTATGACCTCCAATAACGACTGTAGCTCGAGAGAATATGATACCGAGAGACTTCAACTTTTGAATCATTTCCGATTCCCTTGGCCCGTTAATGTAAGCCGTTCTAGTCGTTCCATTCTTAACCCCGTATGTTCGGTCTTATTCATGCAGGTATTAAAGAGAGCCAATGGCTAGGGGTCATTTGAAGTTAATGGAGACGAAAATCACATAGATTGTTGTATTTATTCACAGATTTAGCTTGATTTATAATGATTAAAACATGTTTATTCCATTGCAGCATACATCGGTCAGCTCCGATCGCAAGCGTATTACCGTTGTTGGAGATCACTTGGATGGATTGCTTGTGGATCCGCAAAACGGAAAGGTATGATAATAAACCAACACTTTTCATCTGCAATTTTGTTCCATTTCTGCCTTCGATAAAGAAACGAAAAGGTTCGCTCATTCGCTTGTTCGAAGCTTTAAACGTTATGAATGTGTAAGAATCATATGTAGTGCTACAGCTAGCGATACCGACTCCCAATTTTCTGCTGTCTCAGACTATAGCCACGGTGGTCGGTCATCGAGATTACTCCTTTGCATCAGCATGGCACCCGAATGGGCGCATATTCGTCACAGGAAACCAAGACAAGACCTGCCGGGTATGGGACATAAGAAACCTCACATCGCCAGTCGCCACCCTGAGAGGAAACCTGGGTGCGGTACGATCGATCCGGTTTTCATCCGATGGCCAGTTCATGGTAGTTGCCGAACCGGCAGATTTCGTTCACGTGTATAATACAAAATCCAATTACGCGGCACGACAAGAGATCGACTTCTTCGGCGAAATCTCGGGTGTATCGCTTAGTCCGGACGACGAATCCCTTTATATAGGAATATGGGATGGGATTTATGCTAGTTTAGTGCAGTATAACAAAATACATTTAAGGTGCGTTTGGTTCACGGAATGTAAGATTAATGACGAAAATAGAATTATCGAAGGGAATAAGATTACTGGGAATGTTGTATGTTATGTTTGGTTTGTTTAACATGAATGTAAAATTACAGTATTTAGTTAAAGGAATAAAAGATTATTATAATTATATTTTATCAAATTGTCCTTATTATATATTTTTTTAACAAGTTAAATTCTACTATAATATGACTATAATTAATTTATATATTTTCTTTAAAAATTTTAAATTCATAAAATTTATATAATTTTTTACAAAATTAAAAAGATAAATAGGTTTAATGAAAGGGTAAAATTTTATTTTAACCTCTGAACTTTATATAAAATTTTAATTATAGATTTTTTTTTTGTAAATCTAAAATAGTTTGATAAATTTATAATTTAACATTCGTATAATTTTTTTTATTCAACGACAGAAGAATGATATTTTTAAACATTTTAGTCCAAAACGCTTAGAATGTAACAATACCTAAGGGAATGAGGTAATCACATTCTCGATAATATACCCCCAAAATATCATTGTTGGGAATAACTTATTACCGGGGCTGGGAATGTTTGCCAACCAAACGGGAAAATGACATTTCATTCCCCCGATAATATGAGATACCCTGAACCAAACGCCTCCTTACGGATACTTAGATTCCTACTTGTAAATATGCCTTAATAATTACAAATCTTTAAATGAAATAAAATGCCTTACAATAATAGGGTTTTTTTTCCAATTATTTTTCGGGTTTATTTATTAATAATTGAACTAAATATTTACATATCACCTTTGAAATTATCCTTTGTTGGAATCAGTCTTTATATTTTTCAATCTTGAACGCAGTTCTCGACAGAATCAAATTTGATAGTCGACAATCATATTTATATAATCTGAGAGCTTATCAACAAACATAATAATTCTAGACCTAAAACTCTTTCTACTCCAACTTATAATGTTTATCTTTTTCTTCGTCTATTTTTTTCTCATAAAATGGATAAATTACAAGTTTAGTGCCTAAATTTTAGTACTTAAACTTTTATTTTTTTTTAAAAAACTATGCCTAACATGTAGTTTTTGTTTCATTTTAGTACCTCGCGGTTAAAGCCATGGGTAAATTACATCATTTATCTCTCAACTATCTTCGCACTCCTATTTTGGTATTAAAGTTTAAAAATTTTCAATTTAACTACTCAACTTTCAAATTACTCCTATTTTAATCACTCTAATTTATTTTAATTATATTTTTTGTGACATGAAATTTTTATTATTTTTTTATTAATATATAATTAAAAATTAAAAATAAAATTGAAAGCCAACTGAATAAATTATGAGTAATTTGAAAGTTAAGTGATTAAATTAAAAAATTAAACTTTAGTAACTAAAATAAGAGTGAGAAGATAATTGAGTGACAAATGATGTAATTTATGCATAAAGAGGTAGCACATGCAAATCATCCTTTATTTTGAATGGAGGGATACTACAACGAAATAAAAACTAAATGTTAGATATGATTTTAAAAAACTGAAAGTTTAAGTATTAAAACAAACTAAATTAATAGTTTAAGTACTAAATATGTAATTTATCCTGAAAATATTTGGCAACTGATAAGTTAAACTTAATTTTATCGAAAATAATCGGACTAATAATTAAATATTTTAAAATATAGGGTTACCTACGAAAAGCACTTACGTTTATGTTTTGTCAATTTTTTTTCACTAATTTCAAAAAACATAAGATATAATCACCTTTGTATTCATTTAATTAAAATGTGATCACTTTCTTTTTTATTTAATTAAGACGTGATCATCACAAGTTAGTTGTTGTTAACAATTAATATGATATGTGACGTGATAGTTAATATAATAACACATTCGGTCCATGCTATTTACATATTCTCTCAATTTAGTCATACTTTTAAATAAATCTTAACATAAAATATATGTTTTTAAATGAAAATAAAAATAAAATACTTTTAAATAAAATATTCTCCCAATTTGTTTTCCTTTGTTTTCTTTCAACATAAGGATGACCCATCTCACTTTTTGATTGATGAAAATAAATATATTAAATTAAAATAAAGTTAATCTTCCGACCGAATAGTGACATATGACATTATGGGCAGGCAAAATTCGAATCGACTCGAAGAATCCATTTTTTGTTTCATTTTAATATTTAGTTCAAAATTTAACATTAAATTCTAAAAATATTAAAAGTTTAAATACTAAAACAGATCAAACTAATAGTTTAGATACTAAATGCATTAAGATTTTAACAGTGAAGTAATAAAATGAAAACAAAATATTAGGTATGTTTTTTAAAAAAATGAAAGTTTAAATACTAAAATAGATCAAAATTAATAGTTTAAATACTAAAATAGATTAAAATTGATAGTTTAAATACTAAATGAATAATTTATCCTAAATTTAATGTGAATGGGTATAGGAGAATTGTGGAAAGAATTAATGCATTTGGATAAAACGTAAAGCATTAACAGCATTCAACAATTTTTCAATACATTCATCTAAAGAAAAAAAATTACAGCTACCCCTAATTCATAATTCCACTTGACATTGCAAAAATTTAAAATGCGTTTGATTTACGGAATGTAAGATTATCAATGAGAATAAAATATTACTCGGGAATAAGATTACTGAGAATGTTATATTTTACGTTTGATTGATTTAGCAAGAATATAAAATTACCGATGTTTGATTAAAAGAATAAAAGATTGTTGTAATATATATTTAACCAAATTATCCTTATTATATATTTGTATAATATTACAAATTATAAAATATATTTATATATTTTCTTTAAAAAATTAAATTCATAATATTTATATAATTTTTTTTACAAAATTAAAAATATATAAAAAGTTTAATGAAAAGATAAAAAAAAATTAACCACTGAACTTCATATAAAAATTTAATTATAAATTTTTTTTGTAAATCTAAAATAATTTAAAGATAAATTTGTAATTTAACATTCGTAGAATTTTTATTATTCAATGACAGAAGAATGATATTTTTGAAAAAAATAAAAAATTAAGAGTATTTTAATCCAAAACGCCGGTAATGTTACAATACTTAAGGGAATGGAGGTAATGACATTCCTGATAATATACCCCAAAAAATCTACTATTGGTAATAAAACATTACCGAAATGAGATTCCCGACCAACCAAACATGAGAATGTGGAATTCCCACAATCTTTGAACCAAACACCCCCTTACAGCTTTTATCTAGACAATGCATCATTTATACCTCCTGCAAAAATTGCAACCGATAACGTTGAGTTTTTCGGATCAGTTATCGTGCAACGACTTCATTAAATACAATCTGTTGAAGCTCTGCCCAGCAACCCTGCAAAATGATTTTAACAATAAGTTGCTGAAGAAATTGAGATTACAGTGCATCTCTTGACATTTTCGTTTTGGGGTCTGAAGTATTTTTTGTATGAATGCAGAGAAAAACTCGGACTTGAGATCGATTTGTTCATGCAGCCAGTAGGTTTGGGTTCAAATCCGAGTAACATTTCATCATTGGTATTATGATTTTGAACGATTATGACGTTGAAGAAGAAAACCATAATGAAAATGCATGATTAAACATCAAGGACAAAATTAGTAAACGAATAACACCGTTATATAAGGATTTGTAAAGGGAAATCAGCATAGAGATGCATGGTTCTATTATTATGTTACACTAAGCATTGATTCATGTCGAAAAGGAAGAAACTACAAGTGAAACGAAAACCAGAGATCCAAGTTGAAAAGGGACATTAACCCCCATAGGTTCAAAATGCCAAATTGTAGGATATTTACTTATGTCAGGCTATCCTGAAAAAAATGGTAAGATCGAGAACAGACAACATACCCGTTCATTTGATTGCAGTAATTAGCAATTTGGTTTGTTATGAGAAAGCTCTCCAAGCGTGAAGGCTCGGGGATTGGCTTGAAAATGGGGTTTGTGGGGTCCTCCTCAGGCAATGGTTCCTCACCAGCTGCCTTTCGTGCAATGTTCTCAGCCCTACAGTTGCAAAAGAGAAAATATATAAAACTTTGAAAACCTTAAGAAAGACGAGGAACCTTCGACCAATTCTACTTGAAAACTTCATGTTGTGCCGCAGAATTTCTAGATCATCATAACTGGAAAACAATTTTGCTTGCTCTTTTTCTTTTCTTTGGTTCCTCTTTCCAGGGAAATCATTTATAAGGTTAATAGATTACTCAGACTTAGGTGTAAGTGTGGATACGGGTACATCTCCAACACATGTTAAACATTTTTTCTAAGTTTTCGATGTACTTGGAAGGTCCTTGGACGGTATTTCAAGGAAAATGAAGAGTTGACTAGCATAGAGATCAAGCATAGAGGTAAAGTACACTACCTTCTTTTCTGAAGCCATGCCTGTTGCTGGGCTTGTTGACGTGACAAGCTCCTGTAGTAAAATTGGAACTGCAAAAGGAGAAAAAGAGAGTGGCAATTTATGTTGAACATAAAATAGCAGCAATGATAGCAGTGTAACATCGGAGAAATGGGAATACATGCCTTCTGCTGTTCCATTGACAAATCATCCATGCATTCAATCAAAAATTCCATATTCCTCTCCATATAAGGATTACTTGACAATTGCAAACGATCATAATCACACTAAAATGGAAAATTACAGTTAGAAGGTGAATTTCACAGATACAAAGTCTTCTGCCACAATATTACTGAAAATCACTTGATCAACAAATTATATTTCACCTGTGTGAATGGTGTATCAGATTCCAGCTCAGTCATAAAGGCGCTGATAAGAGCAGAATTTGAGACTTTGATCTGCATTACAAAAGCACCAAAAAAGGGGGAACCGTGATTGTCTATATGAAAATACACTTATCGGGGATACTTCAAGTTATATATGAGGAAAATATGGCAAATCCTCAACATTCCACACTGTAAGTTATAGGCTTCTTTTTGGATCACATTCTAACGCCACTGAAATAATTGCTCGTTCATCATACATGGAGTATCCACTGGACTATATTTATTTAATTATTTCATATCAGACAATAATAAAGGAAAATGCAGTCCCTATGATGTATTATATTACTCCATCAAACTAGTAAACAGTCAAAGCAAAGAAACTTACAGGAATTTCCTCAAAAATATCCACCCATGACAAGTTTTTCTCCCTCAACCTATAACAACAGAAAAAGAGAATCAATACGAAAATTAAGCATACAAAATTCATATTGATAAAGTGTCGACAGCCAGGCGAAATCATACTTCTCTCCAGTAAAACCATTAGCCCGGTAAAGTTCCATAAAAGAATCAGATAGCTTTAAGGCCTTGAGAGCCAAGACACCTTGATTAGACCTTGAAGGATCGTAGATAATGCACACGCACCTCCTTATATTCTCCTGCACCGTTTAACAATTAAGCAGATAAATAACTGAAGAACTACACTGAAAAATTAATTTAACTGGAAAAAACACAGTTTTCAGCTCAAACGAACAGACATAAAGCTTTCTCTATTCGGTGCTATTTTTCTTCTCATCCATAGAATTGCGAGATCTCATTTTCATCAGTAGCAACGCATTTATACACAATTCAGAAGATTCACAATAAAACCGCCACCAAATAATGTTAAAAATGTTTCCTCTACCTGATAATTCATAAAGGTCTAAATGAGCTCAACCGTCTGATA